GCAACTGTTTTGCTTTCCTGAATAAAAATTAAATCCCAGTCTTATGTATTAAGACTAAGTCATAAGCTATCATTAGTTTTTTAATATATAAGGCAAGATATTCTCAAATCGTTTTACTCTCCAATGCTTCAAGTACTTTTCTCCTATTTAAGGAGCCTTCAGTTAGGGATGCCATGCTTTTGAAAAGCCTGATATCAGGTGGAGGTATTTATTTGGGGTTATTTTGTAGAGGTTCTTAAGTGCTATGTGCCTGTAGATGCTGGAAATCTGTGAAATGTTCTGGGTGTGAGCCATCAGTGATCTCATTACTGAGGTAAAAGACACGATGGAAACCGTGCAAGTAGATTGTGAAGTGTGAAGTGTTCCAACTTCGAAGTTCAGCCAGTGGATTAACATTTAACTGATCCTCAAGTGTCTAAGGCCAGTATTTCATTGGATTTTCCAGACCATATTTGAAGATGTGAGTGGTTTAGGAGCCTGGCATCGAAGATGGTGCATTTTGTCTGGAAACTGTATCTCTTATTGGACTTACCCAGACGACGAGAAACGGAAGGTAAGATTGGGTGCTGGTCGGAGGTGAGGCCCCGAATGACTTGCACGCAGTGTCTCCTGCGAGTGTTCCCTCTGGCCCCGGCCACACAATTCCCCTGTGAGGATATTTACTGAGCCACTGAAAATGTTCTTGTTGTAAAAGATGTGTTTGTGTAAAAATTTTGTGTTTTGTCCACTCCCAGTGGTTTGACCACTTTTAAAATACCTTAAAGCATACATTTGTCTTTCTTCCTGGAATGTTTCATAATATTTTTAATTGACATTTTTAGTCAGAAACGTATTAAATTTACTTTTGTATTATTGTAGCCTTGCAAAACTTTATATAAAATTCATTGTAAAATATTTAGGATGGTCTCAGACATACAGAACAAATAATGTCCCTCGCCCTCTGTGTCATCAGTCCAGTTGAAGCTCCCATGTAATATTCTCTCCCCTGGAGGGGTGACACCTATCCTGAAATTTTGTTCCTACTTATTTAATTTTTTATTATATATGTATATATTGCTAAGCAATGTACTTCAATTGCATATTTTTAAACATTATAAAGCAGTACTGTATGTAGTAGTCAGTTGCAGTTTTTGACTCAACATGGTTTGTGAAGTGAGTGTGTGTTGATGTGCGTAGCTCTAGCTTGTAGAGCTCCACCCGTCTGGCCTTATCTTTGGGGGAAACATGAAAAATATCTACAAATGAGATAACATGTCTAGGCTTCTGTTTGCGGAGAGGGAGGAAGTGAGAAGGCTGTAGACAAAAGGCGGTTGAATGTGTGTCGCTAATTGTGAAAGCTGGTTGATCAGTGCATGGAGCTTCATTAGACTGTTCTGTTTTGTTTTCAATTTTGTATCTCTGAATT